TTAGTTACTGCGGAGTAATATAGGTAGTGTGGCTCCAACCATAGATTTTCTTAGTCAGTCAATTAATAATCACATACTAAAACTAATTACATTTATGTCATATAAAATTTTAAAAGGTGACAAATTAAAGTATTCTATCATGAATTTTAAGATAACTACACTTTAAAGATTTAAATCTAAGACATCAGATTAAGCTGGAAGAGACATACTTCATCCCATCCACACTCAAATAATACCAAATCATCTTAGTCAATTATGTTTTGTGTTGATTAATACTTTTAACACTATCAAGTTATTAAAATTTCAAAAATTTACCGTGAGATTAGAAGTAAATCATTGTCAAGATAAATTCAAACACTTACCACTATATAAAAAATGATAACTATAGCATGCATGTGATAGATGTTAAACTTGGTCTTTCAAACTTTTGTGTAAAAATCCTTACTAAAAACAAGTTCAATTAATTAAGTATTTTTTTTATTATTATGTATATATATAAGTGGTATTTAGTCCCTATCTACACATAATCAATTAGAAATTTAATTGAGTCAAATAGAACCCCGGTAGTGTCAAAATGGGAAAACAAAACATAAGAAGTGTAAGATATTAAATGCAATATATATAACTTTGTATTTGCAATTTTTTATTCAACCCAGCTTGTGCTTCATTATTTTTATGAGACATCGACAAAGGATTTGCCATCCTTATTTTGTGATGATATTGTTGACTGGATATTGTCACGACTTTTATAGTAGTGATTCAAGTTACATTTTCTTCCAGACTGCATTAAAAAAAATCAAAAAATAATTTTAAATTATTTTATAGAGTTTTATAAGTTTCTTTAAATGAAACATTTTTAAAAGATGAAAATTATCATTTTAAAGAGTTTTTATGAATCATACCGAGAAACCTAACAGAACAAAAATTTACAATCATAATAGATCTCAATTTATAATGAATATATAAATACCTTTATATATATATATATATATATATATATATATAATTTCAAAATGAGTTAATACCCAAGATAGTCCTTCGACTATGTCGTAATTACCAATTTGGTCCTCGACTATCATTCTTACCCAATTAAGTCCTCAACTATACAATTTTTACCCAATTTAGTCCTTTGTCAATTTGACTGTTTGTTGACTGTCAAAAGTAAAAATAAAGTTGTAATTTTACAAGTTTTCTCCTTCCTCCTCATTTAGCAGCGCCAAACCATGTAGCAATAAGCTCCGATTGGGTTCTAAACCTGTCAGTATCGAAGTAGTGGTTATACATCGGATAGCCCATGAATTTGATTTCCAACGATTTTTTGACGATCGAAATCTGATCGGAGTGTATTGCTGCATGGTTTGGCGCTGCTAAATGGAGAGGAAGGAGAAATCTTGTAAAATTATAATTTTATCCCGACTTTTAACAGTCAACAAACAGTCAAATTAATACAGAAGACTAAATTGGGTAAGAATTGTATAGTTGAGGACTAAATTGGGTAAGAATTGTATAATTGAGGACTTAATTGAGTAAAAGTTACATAGTTGAGGACTTAATTGGGTAAGAATGATAGTTGAGGACCAAATTGATAATTATGGCATAGTCGAGAGACCATTTTGGGTATTAACTCTTTCAAAATAATAGTGTTCAATTTTTATTTTAATTTTTTTTAAAAAAAAACAACTAACAATAATGAACAAACCAACATCCTTTGTTCTCTTTATCAAAAAAAAAAAAAAAAAAAAAAAAAAAAAAAAAAAAAAAAACATTCTTTGTTCTCCTAGTAATTGTCTTTCTCCCTCTACCTAGGCTACCTAGCTAGCTTGTTGCCATGGTCAAACACTTCCACATAGGCTAAAAGACACAATTTTGGTTCCGCCGGCCACCTTTTCGAATCGAAAAAAGTAGGATTTTGTTGAACACTTGGATTGGATTTGTGGCTTTTCGATGTTGTAATATATATCTTGTTGGAGAAGTCTTTCCATTTTAGAGTATGTCTTCGACATAATAAATAGTACTCCATATAGCTACTTATTTTCTTCTTATATACGGTTGTTAAACACAAAATGTCAGGGTAAGGAGTGAGTAAAGTACTACTTCCTTCTCATTTTGTGTGTCTTAATTTGATTAACAAGATTTGACTGATGTTATTTTTAATCTAATTTTTATTAAATTTAATATTTGTATATCAAATTTATATATTTAGAAACTACACTAAAAGTACTATTAAATACAAAAAATTAATTTAAAAATAAGTAAAAAATATTAAAAAAAATAAACAAAGAATAAAGAGTTAGTTTGACCTAATGAATAGTAAGTAAGACAGATAAAATGTGACAGAGAAAGTATAATTTTTGTACTAAAATGTTACGCATTTGATTCTAGTAATAAACACCGCCTTCTCAATCAAGTTCGCTTTCCTATTAATTATCTCTATTGTGTGGTTTGTAGGATTCCATATTAACGAAGTTTACCCTTGCATCTAGAATATTATACACGAGGGAGTTTACCTAGTGTAGAAATTGATCAACTTAAAAATGAAATATACTTATTAATTAAATATTATCATGTAGTTAGAGGGAGGTTACATTAATTTTTCATATATGTGTGTGTGCATGTGTTTTCATTTACGAGTAATGCTACATTTCTCTCTTGATATCATCTCCTTACGGACCGTACTTGATTAGTTTTTTTATATTTAATTAATAATTAATTTTTTAACGTTGATTAAAATCAGCCAATAAATAAATAAAAATTTTATTGAAACGTCGAACATTAAAAGGGAAAAATAGCATTATTCCTTGTTTATTTGTTTACACTGATTGAAATTGTGGGAATGATAATAATTGAAATAAATCATGATCAAGTCAGCTAAAATATTTACCTTGTATGTATATATGTCCAACTCACTCTATAGAAAAAAAAAAAAAAAGACAATAATAATTATTCCGTAATAAGTTTAATTTTTAGTGCTACTTATATGGAATAAATTTTGTGTGTATATATGTATGGATATATGTATCCCTACAAGCTAAGATAAGGATGGAGTTTTGGGGGTAGTGGGTAGGGGGGGGGGGGGGGGGATAGATGTTTGGTGGTAGGCGTGCAAGGAGAGATGGCATTGAAGAGGTCATGTGGGATATGTATGTGGTCACATTTTGGAGTGTGGCAGCCTCCATAAGATTGTGTGTGAAGCATACTAATATAATCAATCATTTCCTTTCATATATATATATATATATATATATATATATATATATATATATATATATTCTAATTACGTGTGTCCTTATTCTATTAACTAGTAACCACACGCTGAGACTAATTATGTTCATGCCACCCCTATTAGTTTTTATTACTTGACAGGATGAATTCTCATAGTATTATACTTTGTAATAATTAACCATCACTAAAACTTTAATATATACAAAACATTTAATTTAATGCATGGATGTCAAGATGATTAATTTAAATCTTGCAAACTCCATTAAGCTTTAATCAAAGGTTTTGTATGGGTTGAATTAAATTATAATTAATATGGTTTAATTAATTAAGCATATGTATAGATGTAGCTTAGTAGTCACTTGAGTACATCTAAATATATAGGGAAGTATAATTACGTAGATAAATAAGCTTGCCTGCTTGCATGCCTCCACGTAACAACAACCTATAATAATTGTTGTCATGCATTCGAGCATCTTGTTTATAATTATGTCTCTGTTTTCCCAAGCTACCATGTACATTACTATAGTACTTTGGTCTCATTTTCTGTGTCCAACATAATCTTTTTTTCCCTGTCTCAATATATATATATATATATATATATATATATATATATATATATATATATATATATATATATAACACGGTAATCAGTTTATCGTCACACAAAAAATAATTGTTGATAGTGAAAGTGCAACATATATATTATATATTTAGAACATGGCAGTTTAGGCTTTACTTGAATTGAAAAACAACTTTCATAAGCACGTATTTTTTGAGATTCATCAACTAATTGTAGAGACAGTGATAGAAAATCTTAATTAAGACCTTAGCAAAGAAGAATGATGGGATTCTAAGCCCTTAGCAATTGTGGGTAGTAAAGGCCTAACTTATTACCTTTAATATGGCAAGTTAATTAGGTTTTATAGGTTATGTCTTCATAAGTCCACACACTTTGTGAGATTAATTGATTAATTTCGAGAGGGTGTTAAAAAATATTAACAAAGAAAGATGGTGGAATTGTAAGCCCTATGCAATTGTTGACGGGTACAATTTCATAATTTTATAAATTATGACAGATAAATATTTATTAAAATTGAGTTAATTTCAGAATGATGTTAAAAATTTTCGAGAAAGATATGGAAGATATCTCATATATTTTTGGGAGAAGAACAAGAAGTAACATGGGAATGAATGTTTTAGGATTCATGTTGCTGTCTAAAGAAAGATCTCCCACATATTTAAAAAAAAAATAAATAAAATAAAAAATAAAAAAATAAGTAAACGGCCATCATCTTGTATTTATTATGCCTGCAATCACTGTTCTAATTGGTTGCCTCACAAGCATGCAACCCCCCACCCCCAATATCTTCCGGCCATATCTCTATTTCTTTTATTAGGTATTCCAACTTAAACTAGATTAATTTTAAATCCCCGCAACCTTGACCTATCTAAGAGCATTAGAAGAGGTAAAGGACTTGTTTGGTAAATAGCTGTTATCTGATTGAGTTAGTGGGTTTGACTAGTTACTAACATTAACTGATCATAGAAAGCAATGTTTGGTAAATTAGCTGATGATAACTGATTATATGCAAAATAACTTTCTTCAAAAGCTGATCGAAAAAGTTATTTTGACCAATTTTTTAAATTTTAACGTTTCGAAGTAATAAACTCATACAAAAGCCAATTAATCAAACATTTATATTGAACCAACACAGCTAGCTCCTGGGCCAAATTTCCATTTTCTTCCCTATAAATACTCAGTTTCCCTGTTCCAGTTTTGACACCTCTGATCTCCTTTCCCACCACAACCTAGTACCAGATCGATAAACTAACCCAAGCTTCTTGTCGTCCCTCACAAACACTTTCTTGATTTCACGTTTGCCCACGTTGTCATCAATGGCTGTTTCTGGGTTCGAAGGATTCGAGAAGAGGCTGGAGCTTCACTTCTCCGGCGATGATCCGGTGACGGCAATGGGCGGGCTCCGCCTGCTGGATTTTGAGTCGTTGGAGGCGGTGTTGCACGCCGTGCAGTGCACGGTGGTCGCCGCCGTCGGCAACCGGTTTTTCGACTCCTACGTTCTGTCGGAGTCTAGCCTGTTCGTGTACCCCACCAAGATCATCATCAAGACGTGTGGGACCACCCAGCTGCTGAAATCCGTCCGTCCGATGATCCATCTCGCCGGAAACATCGGTCTGAGGTTGTCGGAGTGTAGATATACTCGCGGCAACTTTATCTTCCCCAAAGCTCAGCCTTTTCCCCATCAAAGCTTCCAAGAAGAAGTTATTTACTTGGAGGAAGAATTGCCCGGAAATCTCTGTTACAGAAAAGCTTCGATTATGCCGTCGAAAATGAGTTCTTATTCATGGCACGTGTTCTCCGCACGTGATCACCGCCCGGAGATCTTTAACGACGACGATGATGATAGCATCTACACCGTTGAAATTTGCATGACGGAGCTCGACCCGGTTTTGGCCCGGAAGTTTTTTGCCGAACCCGACACGCTGGGGAAAGACATGACGGACGCCACCGGGATTCGCCGCATAAACCCTAACGCCGCCGTCTGCGACTTCGCATTCCACCCCTGCGGCTACTCCATGAACGGCGTCGACGGCGACCGTTACTCCACCATCCACGTCACCCCCGAAGACGGCTTCAGCTACGCCAGCTACGAGTGCGTCGGCTCCGTCAACGCCGCCGCCGCCGACCTCAACCGGGTCCTGACCAAGGTGGTGCAAGTTTTCCGGCCGGGGAAGATGTCGGTGGCGCTGACGTGCAACGGGAACAATGCCGGCGCGTGGAAGAGGGTCGCCGCCAAAGCCGTCGAGGCGCTAGGGATGAAATGCCGCAGTTGCGCGGTGGATGAGTTCCCGGCGACGTCCGGGACTGTCACGTTTCAAACTTTCACTCCTCGCCGGAAATGAGCGGTCATGGCCGACGGTGGCAAATTATACTATGGATCTTGTTCCACATTACAATCTGAATTATTGATAAAAATGCTTATTTTTAATATACTGAACGTTCATTTTTTTGTGTACTCAATGTCTAATACACAAAAAATGAAAATATTAAAAGTGAATATTCAGTATATTAAAGTAACATTATTTCAGTAGTTCATTTTATAAGGTAGATCATGGTCCATGATATAATAATTGACGGATGCAATGTTGAACAAGACACTGATAACAAAAAAAAAAAAGGTGGGGTTTTAGGGTATTTTCTTTTCTTTTTTATTTCTTCTATTAGAATTAAAAACCCTTTTTTCTTCATTTTTTTTTGGTTAATTAGAGGGGATTAATTAATATTATTATACTCCGTACGTAGCAGTGGAAATGATATGCATGCATGCATGATAATGTGATGAACAATACATATAAATGTGGGGAACATCATGATAATGCATCCCACATAGGTTTGTCACGCCTACGTACAATTTTTGAGGTTGCCTATATTTTGTTGATTATATTTATTTGTAGTGGTTGGAGAACACTCAAAACACATCATGTATTCATGGACTCAACTTTATTTTCCATCTTTAGCACACTCCAATAAGGTTATGTTTTGTCTTCTTTTGGCTCATATTCAACTCCTACTTTTCCCCGGAATAAAATCTACTTTGTAAGTTTAGACCGTATCGTAATATAATTTGTAGTTAAGTTACACGTTCTTTTAATTTTTAAAGTTATATTTCAGCACGCATCGTTACTTTTATTATCTCCAATGAGATAATTCGTGTTAGTTTGTAAAGCTTTATGATGCAAATTGAGGGTTTGAATTACGATTAATTGGTCAATAATTCAATTGCTCTCATAATAGACATTAGCTAAGAAAGTAATTTAAAGAGTTTTCTTTTTCCTTTTATTTTTGGGATAAGGAAAGAAATCTACATATAATCACTACTCAATAGTGTTCGCTCCTATAGTCCTATATAATGACCCACAAACGACAGATAAAAGGTAAAACGCAATAGAAATAATTGAAGCTGTTTCATTTCAACTAAAAGCCTAAGCTGATAGTTGGATTGCACATTTATGTTTATATATATTATATGCTCAACAGAAATCACCTATATATGCGACATATTCAATAGAGATCGAATGTATTGAGAATAATATAATCAAAATTTTATCATTCTAATTAATATGAAAACATATGTTTCCTTATTCGGCCAACTATTTTAGGACGATGAGAGTAAGAGAGCTTTTGAAATTTGAAGTGGAATGGCAGCAAATAAGATGTTGATAACTTGATATGGGCCAATATGTTGCTAATATTATAGATTATAGGCCAATTTTGACTAGTCCAATTTATGTATGCCCACACTAGGTAGAAAATTGATCCATTGAATTCTCTATAGCTTGCAACTTTTGAACTGCTAACAATGAATCACTCTTGACCTCCACTCACCTAAACCTCTTATCTTAATATAAAGACAATTCATAGCTGCCCGCACGGGCTTAACTCACGGGTTTGATAGACAGTTTTTGGAAAAAGAGATTAAGATTTAAATCCCGACAACGATAGTGTGGGGATTATACTCAATTAAAGTGTAGTGGACAGATATCTTGTGGGCACTTGCACTTGACCTTGAATTGTCTGCTGAATGAGCCATTAGGTCACCATAATTTACATAATTACATCCTCCCAAATGTTATATCGAGCTGAAAATTCAACCTTTTGGAAGAAGAAGAAGACAATTCATTATAGCTAGCAACGTGTCAAACATAATAATCAAGTTAAATTATTAAACTAAATAAATTTGGACTTATAATTCTTATTTATATAGATGTTTCATCTTGGGATATATTAATAGTATAATAGTATTAGTGACAAGTACCTTGTGCTCAGATGGCATGTAGTGACCTCTCTTATATGCATGGGAACAGATACTACAATGTAATAGAGTCAGTAGCATTCAAAAAAAAAATAGTATAATAGTTTTGCCAAGCACTTTATGCTCAGATGACATGTAGTGACTCTCCCATATGAGAGGTCATGAAATTGAGTCTCAGTGAACACTGTATGTATGAACAGATAATACAATGTAATAGACTCAGTAATATTCAAAAATAGAATAATAATTTTAATGTATGAACAGATAATACAATGTAATAGAGTTAGTAGTATTAAAAAATAGTATAATAATTTTGATGTTGTAACAAACGTTTCAATGATTTTTTTTAAAGGTCCATTAGAAACCAAAAACTTGTAAACAAAAAACTCTATTAATTATTAAGATCTTAGAGCTAGCTGTTCAAGCCTTAAGCAATGATATCTATTGATCTATTGATATATGTAATGGATAAGTATCATGCAAAATCTTAAAATAATAAATGAAGTGGTTCATAATTTTATAAACACTATAGAATGCGATAATATTTTGTCCATATTTATATTGTCAAAATGGTAGGATGTCAAATCATTTCTAGGAGCTACAATAATGTGTCTACCTAATTCATACATTTGGTGGTTATTGCGATTTCTCTCCTTAAAAAAAAACCTATTAGATTTTTTTTTTTTTTTTTGATTGGAGTTAAAAAAAAATACAATATAATGTTACTTTCCCCTACTAATTTGAAAAAAGTCGAGTAGTCATTTGCAATCATGCGATTTATATTGGGAAATAAGAATTGTTCTAAAGTACCTCGTTTGTCTAAGCACACGAGAAAAAACAACAATGATATCTAATAGCGTTAATTATCTAGGGACAATACACTATGTTGATGTCGAGACCATATGTTTTTAGATTCTACGGTCAAGAAGTTCTAGACAGGTTGGGATACATTAAGGGGGTGTTTGGTTGGGAAGAAGGAATTAGGAAGGAAAAGAATTGTAATTCGGTGGAAAAAAAATAAGGTATGAATTCAAATTACATTGTTTGGTAGGGAGGAATAGAATTATTGAGAATGAGAAGGAAAAAGTGATATAAATACTAAAATACCCTTATACAATAATAATATCAATAAAAACCACGGGTGCCAGGGTGGTAGTGTCATTTGATCTAATTTTCTTTTCTCAAATTCATTGATGAATTGCAATTCATGGGGTACCCCATGAATTGCAATTCAACAAAATGAGGGAATTGCAATTCCCTTCAACCAAACACTGTAATTCAGATATTCATTACAACCAAATTACATCCAAATAAACGCCCCGTAAGAGTGTTAAGGTCCAAAAGTCGCTTCTTTTAGGGAGCAAATTAACTTTTATAGTATTAAACTAGGAGCACACTATATATATTCTATGTATATCCCTATCAATACTATCTAATTCATATGTGTATTAACTTCTCTATGCACATGGTTGATGTTTTTGACTTTACAATTAGACAAAAAAAGTTGAATGTAAATTGTGTTTTCCCTTTTGGAAAGTGGGTAAAAATAGAGACTTTGTTAGGACTTTAAGGGGAGAAAAGTGCAAAAAAAAAAAAAAAAAATTGAAGGGGTCAAAATGCATTTTACTCCCCCCCCCCCCCCCCCCCCCCCAAAAAAAAAAAAAAAAAACTTGTCTTTTTTCCTTTGTCTGATGCCTCTGCTCCATTGGAGGTAATGCACAAATGGCCATCTCATGCATGAGCAACAGCATGATGGATGGTACCTCACACGCATAAAAACCCTTACCAAACCTCATCTTCCCAATCCCCAAATCCCTTAATTTCACAATTTCATATCCCATTTCTTCCCACATTAGCAAAAATGTAATGAATAACATCTCATAAATATCTGCATCCCAATGTTCTTTTCCAGGATTCTTTTGCCCAATTTTCATTTTCTATGCCTGGAAAGAGACCCCACAAACCCAACACCTCCTGTCCTCTTCTGCTGACATTTCTTGACATGATCACCTCAGAATCGTCCCTATCTGTTGCATCTCTCTGTTGATCTTTTTCTTCATTTTACGGAGTAATTTTCTATGTTATTTTTTTTTAAATTATAATATTTCCCCATTCATCCTCTTTGCCCTTGATCATTTCTTGATTTTCTTCTGGATTGAGTCATTCTAACATTGATGAATTTTATTGTGAATTCACTTTTTCTTCTGTTGACATTTCCTAGGGTTCTTTGGTATCATCAACAAATGGATTTGCTTGGAAACCCATATTTCTGAAGCAGCATTACAATTTGGGGAATACCCAGTTGCATATTTCTGAACAAGAATTCTGTTTATCTCTGGGTTTTGATTCCAGTGGGTCATCCAATCATCCATTGAATGCCCATATTTTAGTGGCCATGCTGCAATTTAGTGCATACCCATTTGTCCATTTTCATTGAGAATTTTGATTCTCTGCAGTTTGAGTGCTTTTGTTTGTGTAAAAATTGTTCACAAACAGTTGGTGGTGGGGGGGTTGTGTGGGTTCTTGAATTTGGGTTAAGAAATGGGATGTATTCATGGGAAATGTTGTTGTAGATTCCCTAAATCTTCGGATGGGGATAACAGGGAAAATTTGTGTAAGAAACATGTTCCTGCTGTTAGTTCATCATATGTTGCTCATGTGCCTTCTGAGAATTTGAAGTTAGAGTGTTCTGTTCTCACACAGCGCGGTTTTTACCCCGATTCCCCTGAAAAGGAAAATCAAGATTGCTATTGTGTTAACACACAGCTAGTGGATAATCCAAATGTGCATTTCTTTGGTGTGTTTGATGGGCATGGGCAGTTTGGTACAGAATGTTCGGTCTTTGTTAAGGATAAGTTAGTGGAGATTATGTCAAATGATCCTACATTGTTGGATGATCCTGTCAAGGCTTACAATTCTGCATTCTTAACGACTAACGAGGAGCTTCACAATAGCAGCATAGATGATTCCATGAGTGGGACAACTGCTATAACGGCTCTAGTTGTCGGGAACATGTTGTATGTTGCAAATGTAGGTGACTCAAGGGCGGTGCTAGCTGTTAAGGAAGGGAATAGAGTTATGGCTCGAGACTTGTCCTCGGACCAGACTCCTTTCAGGAAAGACGAATGCAACAGAGTGAAGCTTTGCGGGGCTAGAGTTCTGAGCGTTGATCAAGTAGAGGGACTTAAGGATCCAGCTATTCAGTCATGGGGCGATGAGGAGAAGGAAGGCAGTGATCCACCTAGGTTGTGGTTTCAAAACGGGATGTATCCTGGGACCGCCTTTACACGGAGCATTGGGGATAGTATAGCAGAGAAAATTGGCGTTGTTGCTACTCCAGAGGTATCAACAGTACAGCTAACCGCTAATTATCCCTTTTTTGTAGTTGCAAGTGATGGCGTCTTTGAGTTCCTCTCCAGCCAAACCGTGGTGGACATGGTGAGTTCAATAATGTTTAATAGAATACCATTATGTATTTTCCTCTATTATGTGATGCATATGTATTATGACAAGATTTGCCTTCACGGGCAGCTCAGTTGGTTCTTGGGTAACGATTATGGGCAAGAACACATGATCGAGCCTTGACAGCCGCAGTATAGGAGTTCCATCCAATGTGGTGGTCTCTTTGTTGGCACCAGGCACTGGTCCTCCCACCTAATAGGTCATTGAGTCCGTGATTTACTCCTCCACTATCTGTCGAGCAGGGGTGTGGGGGGGGAGGGAATTTTGGCAAAGTAACCATTTTTTTGAAGAATTCATGTTAAAAGAAGGCTTCATGATGTGTTATGAAATTGGACATTTAATGCATTCACCATTGGTTGAATCAAGCTTGATTCATGCTTTTTCCCTCAAAAGTAGTCATCTGGTAGGATCATTCTTGGATCTCCATGACTAATGTATCATTTACATTCATTTCTTGTAGGTAAGCAGATACCCAGATCCAAAAGATGCATGTTCAGCAATCGCTGCAAAATCATACAAAAGATGGCTACAGCATGAAACCCGAACAGATGATATAACAATCATCATCGTATATATTAAAGACTTATTCCATGTATGAGTTTGGCAGATCAAATTTGTTATGCAAACTTATTTTCTCCTTGTGACAACTTCATTTGTGCTTGTTCTTCAATATCTGAAAGTTGCTAGAGAGTGCTGGTTGTGATTATTACTAGGTTTGGCTTTCACTTTGATAATATTCTCAATTTTTTTGAAGGAATGAATAATTGGAGAAGGGAAAACAGAAAATACGTTTACTTGTACTTCTCCAATCTATTTTATTGAAAAACTGGAGAATTGAAGTAAACACAATTATGTGGCGAAGATCTCAAATATGCTCCAATTGCTTGAATGAAGTCATGTTTTTCTGTACTGCTTTGTTTTTATAATTGTTAGTATATTCTTAAACTTGTGATAGTCAGGTGTTAGAACCATTGACCGCTGTGAAGGAAATGGAGAAGGGGAAGGGGAAATGGTGTCTGAAGTATTTTTCACTCCTGGATCGGAAGCTTCTAAGTCGGTGAGAAGGGGTGTCTCTGAACTGCAGTCTTATCATCCAACTATATCGCTAAATCAATCTTCACGAACTGTTATTCCATAGCTGACCTGTGAGTTTCAATCATCTTCTCCCGGTTTTCTTTTCTGCATTGGAGGGTTATTGCTCGGTTTCTAGCTTACCCCGCCTATTTCTCATTTTCATTGCAGTAACTGAACCAATAGACAGTCATGAATTCACACTTCTTCCTGTTTTCATGTGCCTGAAATGGTAATTAGGACCAAAACTCCAAGTTCACAATGCATATTCTTGGGGTGAATAGATTCTTTGACTGAGTATTCATGGCAGGTGGCTGGGCGGAGCTGGGAAGGCGACGGTGCATGAAATTGGACTTAGCCTCTGAGTGATATATGTACTATGAAGTCATTTCCCAATTCTATATATGCCTTCTCTGTTATGTATAAACACCAAGAAGTAGCTGATTTCAGCACATGAAAGCTGTTGAAAATGGTTCAGTGGATTAGACTGAACACTTTCTGTAAACATGTGAAAATGCAGTCACAGACTCTGTGAAACTTGAAGAAATAGACTATCAGCAAAATTGGGGACTATGATCATTGCCTTTATTTTGCAAACAACAATAATACACAATCCTCAAATAGATTCCTTAACACAAGCTCTTTCCCCTCAAGATATGTGTTTTCACAATTTCTCCAAATACCAAGTAAAGGGTGCAAATATATATTGTGAAACCCAAGTGAACTCTTGCAGTCCATGGTCATCAATATAGTGTTCATTCTTTTGAAGTAAATGTTCAACCACTCAAGTAAATAACATTCATTGATGTTCAAATAGGCATAGGGAAACCTGCAGTCACTATCTGAGAGTATGCACTAGATAAACCCTGTCTCGTGACCCTAGCCAGCAAAAGACTACAAGAAAGTCACTAACTTACCGGCTCAAATCAAGAAAGTCAATAGGTCACTCCCGTTAGGAGTTGAACTTGTAACCTTGTGGTTACCAAATCAACAACCTGACCAACTTGATTGGGTTGCCCCAATTGGGAACAACCTTCTTCTGTAGATCTGTAATGTATTTGTAGGCACTGTAAGGCCAATTAATTCACTGAAACACAGCAACAAATGGAACATTTTTCTATCTGCCAGTAACCAAAAATACCACAAAGCCCAACTAGAAATGAGAATGAACAAATGCAGATAATATCACAATCATCTAAACACACACACTCTGTATAAAAGAGACAAGTAGTAGACAATCATATTTTTCATTGGCTCAATATTCTGGATATATATATATATATATTATTCAAACAATTAATCCATGCAACATTCTGCAAAGTAATGAACTGAAAATCCCTTTCTATACTGATCTGCATTGAAATTCATTATTTCTGGAGATGTCAGTCTGTCAGAACCTAATTCTCAAATCAAATGTGAAAAGGAAAATTTGTTTAACAGTCAAGTACCCTTCCTGTTCGCTCTCTTCTCATTGCAAGCCTTCAAAGCTTGAACTTCTGCAATAATATACTAAATTTTCACCACAATATACTATAAACTTATTAATTCGAACTAAAAAAAAAAATTATTTTAAAAAAATTACTCTTTTGACAAGACTTCCAGTTACGGTTGTTTTCAACAAGGCAATCCTGCACATAACAAAGGATCATCAGTTCCATTTGAGGGTTTCGCATTCCTTTTTCACTGTAAATATACAAAATAACTTCTTTTTTATTTATTTATGTAACGGTTTGAGCACCTGTAAGGCTAGGTAAACAGCAGAGCACTCTTGGAGTTGCTTCACGGTATCGTCGTCTTCGTCCGCATCCATCTGGTGGAGCGCCGGCGCCGGCGGAGTCGGGTTCGGGCTTGGTTGTTGGGCCATCTTCGCTGAATCAACCTTGGTGAATGGTTTTTTAGAAAATGTTCAAATCTGTATTGTTGAAATAAGTCACAATTAAATTCATGAATGTTTTTAAAAAAAATCAAAAAATTAAATACTTAAACTCAGTCAAATCGTGCAATTAAGTTCATTTTATCTATCGTTTCCTATTAACTCCAAAATACTTGTCATATTATATTATCTCATTTTCTAAAAATATAATAAGCCTCAATTAAAGTTATATCCTTGATTTATGTCCCTCTTTTTGTATGCAAATAAAGGTGTACATTTTATTTTAAATGTTGTACATTCTAATGGTATTAGACAAAACTACCCTTACATCGTTATAACACCGTTAATTTTTAATTCTAAGATTGATAACACATCATTATTACCATACACCTATATCCATCATTTTTTTTTTCCTTTTTTAATTATTATATCTTATTAAAATTATTATATATTAATTTAATACTTAATTATATTTTAATTAAATTTCTATAAATGATTATATATGTGTGTGTACAAAATACATATATTATTTGTTTATATATAATTCAAATTATAATTTTTAATTATTTGTATTTATCAATATTTTAATATTGGGCATGAACTTTCACGCATCGTGCGTACAAAATGTTAGTTTTTTAAATAAAAGTCTAATTCATTAATCATAAACATAAATGTTTACAATACAGATCATTAGAATGACAGTGCATTCTTTACCGTCAGACATAGAAACAAATTTTATAGCAATGTTATAGAAAAACTGTTTTATAAATTTGAAGTCAAGTTGCTGAATGAACTCGGTGCTTCTTCACAGATATGTCAAACATAGCCAAGTCGGACTCTGATGTGACCATTTTATCATTCCACGTTTATGAGGAGAATTCGCCAAAGAAACGAGAAGGAAACATTCGTCAGAGAGACGACATAAAGTAAACTAGTCAAAGGAACAAAGAGATAACGTAGAACCAAAAGATAACAAAACAAATGGAAAAGATGATGGAAAACCTGTCAGTGCTGGAGAGTCTCTGGAACCTTCTCTTAAAAAATGATCGGAGATAATCTGAGATGTAATGCTTATTCCTAAAACAGCCAGAGGATGGAGTCTACTAATGACACCACCGGCTCAACCCTCCATTAGAGCGTCAGCCCGGCAGGCGAAGGATGGAGTTGCATTCTATCTCATATTTTTATTGTATAATAATTAAAACTATAAAATATTAAATATTAAATACTAATTTTTTAATAATATTTTATTTCACTTTAGAAAAACTCTCTATTTGCCACCTGCCACCATTTGTCGCCTACAGTTGTTGCCTTTTTCATACAAGAGACGACAACCGATATCACCGCCTTCTTTAGGCATAAGAAAGCAACTGACAACCACCTTCTCAATCAAAAACGGCAATCAATGTCAGTTACTTTCATCACATTTTTACCCGTAACCTATTATTCAATATATTATTATGAATATAATATAAAATGAATATTATTAAACATATGTATTGACGGTTACTTTTAACCACTTAATATAAAAACGTCATTTTAAATTAAAACATAATATAATTTCATCATTTTCTCACCACATTCTCTATGTTATGTAATTTATAGTTTTTTTTTTTTTTTTTTTTTTTTTTTTTTTTTTTCGTTTCCCTTAGTATAAAATAAAATAAAATAAAATTTTCAATTATTTGTTGTAACTTGTAAGTAAATAAAAAACATATAGTAAGCAAAACAAAATAAATAAATAAAATTCCTAAAAAATTGAGTGATAAAAAGTATAATACAGGGGAGAGGTTCTCAGTGCTTAAAACGCTGAAATATTGACAAAAGAAAACGAAAGCAAGAAACCGAGCTATCGATTCTGTCTACTCTCCGATGCTCTCAGATTGATCTCACCTTTAATTGCTCTTACATCCGTATCTCGAATCCGGTATGTATTCGTTGAATAATCCGAACAATTAATCTTTAAAGAATCACAAATTGGTTTGATTCACAGCGATCTTTTAATGTGATGAACAATATTGTTATTGGATTCTGTAATTTGTTTAAGAATTAAATAGTTCGATCTATCGGCTGGTTTTGATGATTGATATGAATTCAATTTGATTGGAAGTTTAATGGTCTGGTCAGGTGAATGGATTCACTATTCAATATTCATTTCTGTTTGTTTTTTTTTAATTTTTATTTATTTTATTTTTCATTGGTTTATTGATTCAATGTATGTTATGGCTACTGGTGTTGTTGCTGATTGGGATGCTTACTGAATTCATGTGTGCAACGGTGTTCTAGTCGTGTTGAGAATTTGAGATTCGATAGTTCATATAGTATGTGTTTGGAATCTGGATTTAGGCTCAGTGCCAGCAGATAAATTCTATCAGAGATGTCTAATCAATCCGTAACTGCCAAGAGTTGGATTGAAGTTTTGATAGTGCCAGAAGTGAAATTTCAGAATCTATCATCTATTTATGTGTTATATATGAAAATGATTATCTCTTTTTATGATATATTTATATTAAGTTGATGAGCTGATGCTATGGGAGATATTTACTCTGCAGCTAAGGAATGGCATCAATGGTCGCCAAGGCATGTAGTAATAATGCCACTCAAATATCGGCACTTGTGACAGTTTCGGAAAAAGGAAGTAGGAATAAGAGGAAATTCAGGGCCGATTCACCTTTATGTGATCCGAATAAGATAACCTCTGCTCCTCAGAATGAATTCACAAGCTACGAATTTTCTGTGGATAAATTTGGAATAATCCCAAGTTTTGTGGGCTCCAATGGGTGTGATACATGCAGTGTTAAAAATGATACTTCAGAAGTTTTGAAACTTGACATTGGATTGTCGTGTGCAGTAGGGTCATCAGAAACTGGTCTAAGCCGGCCAAGAGAGGAACCTGAAGTCACTGAAGAGTTCCATGATGCTGACTGGAGTGATCTCATAGAATCTCAGCTAGAGGAGCTCATACTGAGTAATTTGGATGCAATTTTCAGGAGTGCAATCAAGAAAATAGTGGCCTGTGGTTATAGCGAAGAGATTGCAAATAAGGCTGTTCTGAGGTCTGGTATTTGCTATGGGTGTAAGGACATTGTGTCAAATATAGTGGACAATACTTTAGCATTTCTTAGGAATGGCCAAGAGATTAATCTATCTGTGGAGCATTATTTTGATAACTTGCAGCAGATGGAAAAGTATGTCTTGGCTGAATTAGTTTGTCTTCTGCGAGAAGTTAGGCCGTTTTTCAGTACTGGTGATGCAATGTGGTGCTTGTTAATATGTGACATGAATGTGTCCCAAGCTTGTGCGATGGACAGTGATCCTTTGAGTAATTCGGTTTTGAATGGGGTGTTAAATCACAATCCCTCAGCTTTTGTGCAACAGTCGTTGAAAACAGAGAGTAACAATGCTGAATCCAACACAGTTATTCCTTGTAAACCAATCCCTTCAGTTTATTGTCCATCTGAAACACCAAATGTAGATTCAGATGAGCATAGGTCTCAGTTGGGAGCACCCACAGCTGTAGGTGTGCAACATGTAAAGCCCCAATCTTCCTTTGTTCTGAATGGACTTATCACAGAGAAAGAGTCTTCAAATTCTTTGTTTGACACTGCTGATAAGTCCTTCAGTGCAGCGGCAACATCCCATCCTTCTGCTGCAGATGAAAAGTTGGTGGGCAGTAGAAAAGTTTCAGGAACCACTAGGAGGGAGTATGTACTCAGACAGAAGTCCATTCATCTGGAAAAACACTACAAAACTTATGGTTCTAAAGGGTCTAGAGCGGGAAAAGTCGGTGGTTTAATTTTGGATAAGAAACTGAAGTCTGTGGCTTGCCCTGCTGGTTTGAATCTAAAGAATGCCTCACTAAAGTTCAACAAGTCTGCAGTTGCTGTGTCTCAAGACAATGTAAACCATAATTGTTCTACAAATAATGATACTGTATTTCCTTCAACATCGGTGTTTGGTTCAGACACAACTAATGCCACCTCTGCATTACTTAAACCAAATATCCCACCTTTGTTGCCACCTACCAATACCTTACCTGCACTACCAATGGCGGATACGGAACTCTCCCTCTCATTGCCTGCCAAGTGCAGCTCCATCCAGGTGCCTACTTGTGGTTATGCTGTGACAAACGAAAAACGCCTTAATCAATGGGCTGCCCAGGACAAGAAAGATGAAATGATTCTAAAGCTGGTGCCCAGGGTTCAGGAATTGCAGGGTCAGCTCCAAGAGTGGACAGAGTGGGCAAATCAGAAGGTCATGCAAGCTGCTCGTAGATTGAGCAAAGACAAAGCTGAGCTTAAGACACTCAGGCAGGAGAAAGAAGAAGTTGAGAGGCTCAGAAAAGAAAAACAAACTTTGGAGGAAAACACTATGAAAAAACTGACAGAAATGGCGAATGCCTTGGGTAAGGCTAGTGGACAGGTAGATCGAGCTAATGCTGCTGTCCACAGGCTTGAAGTTGAGAATGCTGTGTTGAGGAGGGAGATGGAAGCAGCGAAGTTACACGCAGCACAGTCGGCTGTGAGTTGTCAAGAGGTATCAAATAGAGCAAGGAAGGCACAATTAAAGTTCCAGTCTTGGGAGAAGCAGAAAACAGTGCTCCAGGATGAACTTGCTGCTGAAAAGCGTAAGTTGACTCAGCTGCAACAGGAATTGGAACAATCCAAAGAACTTCAAAGCCAACTGGAGGTATGTCTACTTAAAAGTTTTAACTGATACTCCATATAATAATAAAAAAGATAAAGGAAACAGTTGCGAGTGTACTGTTGTTCTCTTGAAAGAAAGTGTGAAGTATCACTAGATCTGGACCTATCATCCATGGGGGACCATGTAGGTTAGATATTCCCCCATATATTTATTATAAAGAAAATTATTAAATCATCCATGAGAGTTTATCTGTGTGACAACTTTGACACAGCAATCACAATAATGGAAATGAAGCATCTTGTACTGCTTATACTCTTAAAGTTAGAATTTTGGAAATCATTGTGCTCTCTGGTTGATGGTGGTTTACGAAAAGTTAGAGGATGCATTTACCACTCATCTTCAGTAGCCCTTCAACATTGGATAGAAGTATGTAATGTAACACACATCTAGGACGGAAATTTACGCATAAATGACAAGCATGCTTAGAAATTTGTATGGAACTATTTATAACTTCCTGTTCTACTTTACTTTTTCCTTTTCCTCCATAGAGAGAGAGAGAGAGGGGTGGGTGGTGTTTGGCTCTCCTTTTCCTGTAAAATGTACATTGAACTCATCTCATCATATTACTCCCTCCATCCAGCAGAATACTGTCTTAATGGAAAAATGATACGTGGTATAATTTTGATTATGGCCATCATTAATGAGAGTATTGAATTTATAAATATTCTATTTCACACTCCTACTAAAAGAACATTGTTAGTAATGAAGTAATAAATTTTGCCAAATTTATTGAATGTGACAGTTTTTGTTGAATGTTCCAATATAGTAAGGTGGATACTTTTTAATTGACAAAGGGATTATTTGAATAATCATATGATATTCATATTTTATTTGCCAAGATATTGTTGAGAGCTATTAATTTAATCTGATGGAGAAGATAATATTCGGTACATCTTCTAAATCTGTTGGAATCATCTCTAAAAATTTATTAGTATTGTTGCCAACTCATCTCCTATAAGGGTGAGATTGCAGTTGATGACATCTTTGGTTCATAAATTATTGTTGTTATCATATAGGATGTCCTGCTGAGAAAGTATTTGTTCTCATTGGAAAGCTGAAATCTGACAGGCTAAATGGAAGCAGGAAGAAAAGGCAAAAGAAGAACTACTTAAACAGGCCACCTTGCTAAGAAAAGAGAGAGAACAGATTGAAGCTTCATCCAAATCCAAAGAAGATTTGATCAAACTGAACGCACAAAGCAACTTGCAGAAGTATAAAGATGATATCGAGAAGCTAGAAAAGGAGATATCCCAGTTGAGGCTGAAAACTGACTCATCAAAAATAGCCGCTCTTAAAAGAGGCATAGATGGAAGCTATGCAAGCAAGCTTACAGATTTCAGAAATCCTCCAGTGATGAAGGAAACCCATATACCTTATATCTCCAGGTTTATGGCAGATTTCCAACACTACCCCAACTCCGGTGGGGTGAGAAGAGAACGCGAGTGCGTCATGTGCTTGTCCGAGGAGATGTCTGTGGTTTTCCTTCCATGTGCCCATCAGGTGGTATGTACAACATGCAACGAGCTCCATGAGAAGCAGGGGATGAAAGATTGTCCTTCCTGTAGGAGTCCAATCCAGCAGCGTATTGGGGTACACTTCGCACGCTCCTAGTTTTTGTATACAGACAGAAATGAGTTAGTCTTCAAAATAATGATTCAAAAAACTACTACCTAAGAATAATGCATTTGGTCGACCCCTTTCAAATGCTATTACAGGTTACAGTTGAGCTTGTGTCCTATGATTTGTTTCAAAGTTAGAAAAAGAAAAGGTTTCTGTCAAAATATGGGGTTGTAAATCATGGTTCCCCTTTTCCCCTGAATAAAACTTGTTTCATTCATTTTACACCTTTGTTAATATGTGATTTTTTTTTTACCAATACACAAGCTTTGATGCTTTGGTGACTTAATTTGTTTGCTAACTATTTTTTGAAGTATAGATTGCTCTTAGCAGCTACATGTGTGTCTCCAGAATTTTGCTTGGAAAACCTCAAGCAGCTCTCATCTTATCTGTTTGCTAGTATCTTGTTATCCTTCTTGCATTTGTAAATAGTTTTGAAGTAAACAGATTGTTAATATAACCACATACTACTCCGTACAATGTTAGAAGATTGGAGGGGGCAATTTCTAGCCGAGTTGGTCGGACAATTGATTTGGTAATCGCAAGGTTTCAAGTTTAATTACATTAAGAGTTGTATATTGACATCCTTGGTTTGAGCTGGTCAACTATGAGTAACATAGACTAGTTTTTTGTCAAGTAGAATCACAATCTTTGAGGTATCTTTGGAGTATCCTTGGTGCAATTTACCTATAGTAGCTGCGGGAAAAAAATGTTCTGTCAAAATTATACTGTGCACCTTGGAGTACTACAAGTTCATTTACATATTTATTTGTAGTATATTGAAAGTCAATATGAACTTATAGTATACTCAAAATGAATTTGCAATATCCCAAAAAAAAAAAAAAAAAACCTGAATAGGGGGTCTATTTTATTATGAAATCCTGGTAAACGGTGTAAGCATTGAATTGATTCCAATCCTGTGCAATCATGGTGCACACGGTTGCGAAGGACACCGTTTCACTATGGTGGAGTAACGGTGTCGTTAGTGGCACTGTTTAACTCCACCAATTATTATTATTATTATTATTATTATTATTATTATTATTATATTATTATTATTATTAACTCTAATCGATGGGATTTCTACCATTTTCGATGTAGATATATATTTCACTAATTCTAGATGTATAATTCACTAATTCTGGATATATAGTTCATTAATTCTTGATATATAGCACATCATAATGCCGTTAACGACTTTCAAAAATAATTTTTTTTTCTAAAGTCGAACGCGTCGTTTTTAATCAAAATGATGCCGTTTTTGCAACCGTGTGCACCATGTACGGCATATTTGCCAATTAATTCCGCAAATTATGCTGTGCAACCGAATGCACCTTGCAAGGTGCATACGGTTGCAAAACGGCGCCGTTTTGGTTAAAAAATGCGCGTTCCCACTTAAAGAAGAAATCAGGTTCGATTCTCGGCAATAGCATTTTTATATATTCAGAAATTCATAACTATATATTCACAAATTCATAACTATATATATCCACAAATTCATAACTATATATCCACATTGAATGAATGAAGTAAAAATCCACAATGAATGAATGAATGAACTAAATATCCACAATGATTGAACTAAATATCCACAATGAATGAACTAAATATCCATAAATTCATAACTATATATCCAGAAATTCATAACTATATATCCATAAATTCATAACTATATATCCACAGTGAATGAATGAAGTAAATATCTACAATGAATGAACTAAATATCCACAATGAATAAACTAAATATCCATAAATTCATAACCATATATCCACAATAATGCTATTGTCGAGAATCGAACCTGAATTTTTTTTTTTAAAGTGGGACGCGCGTTTTTAGTCAAAACGACACCGTTTTGCATCGTATGCACCATGCGCATACATTCGGTTGCACAGCATAACTATTGAATTGATTCTGTATGGGACGATTCACCCAAGGCTTCCAGCCCATACCGAAAGTTTAAACCGTAGAAATTGGGCCGAAACTAAAGCCCATCCTTCATTTAACTGTTCTAACGACGTCGTACCTCATAGGCCGTCCGATAATTGGCACCTCCTGGCAGAGAGCCGCCGTGCCAACTTCCAATTAAGCCAGTCTTCACTCTTCAGCCCTACACGGAGGCGGAGGGGCTGCAGCCACCGCGCGATTGGATACACAGTTTTACGCAATAATTAGATGGAAAATGAGAAGAAAATAGAGAGCTATGTGGTGGTGCACAACATAGCGAAAAGGCATAACGTGGGGACACTAGCTCGCAGCGCCACCGCCTTCGGCGTCTCTGAACTGATTCTAGTCGGCCGGCGAGACTTCAACGCCTTCGGCAGCCACGGTTCCACCTCTCACGTTCGCTTCCGCCACTTTCACTCCCTCTCTGACGCTAAAAACTTCCTCAAGGTACTACTGTTCATTCTATAGTACATTTTCTTCCCCCTTTTAGATAATAAAAATCCATTATTATTATTATTATTATTATTATTATTATTATTATTATTATTATTATTATTTTCGCTTTGGATTTTGCGTTAATGTGTATCTATCAGGAGAGAGATTGTGACATATGTGGAGTGGAGATTACGGAAAATGCAATGGCTGTGAATCAGCACCCTTTCAAGAGGAGTACTGCTTTTCTCCTTGGTAATGAGGTATTTCCTTAGCTTGACTTGAAAGGATTCAGTCTTTGATATTGAATGAAGCTCATATCGTAATACATTCATGTTGTAACTCTAATTGTCATGGTTTGGACACAACCATTCTGTAGGGAACAGGGCTTTCAGCTAAGGAATGTGAGATCTGTGACTTCTTTGTTTACATTCCGCAGTACGGGTGTGGAACTGCATCTCTGAATGTCACTGTGGCAGCTTCTATCGTTCTCCATCACTTTGGAGGTAACTGGCGTTTAGTGTCCTGACCTTGTGCTGAATTATTCACTCCAATATATTCGTCATCTTAGCATTTAGCCTTATTTAATTGCGTAAGTTTATAGGGATATGATTTTAAGTTTAGATTGAATGTTAGAAGTGTATGACAAAAAAGGAATGCAATAAAATGATGGCCCATAAAGTGGCAAAGTCAGTCCAAGTTCTGATACAATTGCAATGGACTCTGAACTCAAAAAATCTGGTTTCAGGATATACACAAATATAGATAAACATTATGAAATTTATAGTTAAGGTGGGAAGGACGTAATTTCAGAATGATAGAGAACTGAAACTAAAATAGTAGTTCAGAACTCATATAAAAAATGCAGTGTGATGGAAGTTGTGTCGGTTACACTGGATGTAGGGAGGCACCTGAACAGCTGAACTACATTAAAGAGGCATTTGTTATCTCTGTTATTCTTCTAGTCTCTAGGTTTATCAACTTGGCTGTCTATATTCAGCTGTTTTGACTTTTGTGTAAGAATGGTGTTAGGGCAAATGTGGAGTAATTGATTACTTAAGAACCACTGTTTTAGACTTATTTTAGCATTTAGCCTTATTTAATTGTGTAAGTCTGCAGGGATATGATTTTAAGTTTAGATTGAATGTGAGAAGTGTATGACAATTGACAACAAAAGGAATGCAATAACAAGATGGTCCATAAAGTGGCAAAGTTGGTTCAAATTCCGATACAATGACAACGAACTCTGAACTCATAAAATCTGGTTTCAGCATATACACAAATATACATAAACACATGAAATTTATAGTTGAGGTGGAAAGGGCGTAGCACAGAATGATAGAGAACTTAAACTAAAATAGTAGTTCAGTACTCAAAAGATTGCAGTGTGGTAAGAAGTGTGATGGAAGTTGAAACCCTAACATTGGATGTAGGGAGGAACCTGAACTTCTTTAAAGAGGCATTTGTATCTCTGTTTGTCTTCTAGTCTCTAGGTTTATCAATTTGGTTGTCTATTCAGCTGTTTTGATTTTCGATATGAATGGTCTGCAAATATGGAGTAACTTTGATATTTATGCAAGATGGCTATTATATCTAATACCAAAAGATTAGATGCTCTACCGAAAGACATTGTATTGATTTTAAATATTTTTGCTTTAAATAACCAACAAAAACAGTTGTATATACATTCTGATATATGGATGAACATGTAGACATGTAGTTGATCACTATTGTTCTTATAAGGGAATACCTTTTTGACATTTGATTCTTTTCAGCTTGGGCCGGATTCCCTGAGAGATCTCGTGAAGGGAACAAATATGTCGTTGCTGAAAGACCAAGTATGCAGGGTAAGAGAAATTACTGCATGGAAAGCGCGGAATCGATTGCTGAAGAGCGAAAACTAAAAAAGGAAAATGCTTCAAATGGGTTCTTTGATGAGATTGGAAAAGAAGATTCTCCTTCCAACCTATTAGATACATTGTTTGCTGACTAGCAAGGGAAGGGAACCCACCAGACTATCTCAATTAAATTCCCGCTCACAACTTAATCCAGTCATCATCTCCACTCATTTGTTGCAGTAGATAGAAGCCCAGAAAGTACACAAATACAACCATCCATCGTAAGGGAACGGCAAACCAAGCCATCTGGAATCCAAGGAAAGTTTAGCTGATCAATGAACCGAGCTAAAGATACCAAGAAACAAGTGTTGTATGACATATGTTCTGTTGTCAAGATTAACTTCACAGGAAATCCTAGATTGTTTTAGCAGTTAGAGCTTAATTTGCTGCAGATATTTTCTATCAGTTGACATAATTGTTTATGAATCCAACTTTTGCCAGTATGGTCAAAGTCTCTACCATTCATCACCATTGTGAAGTAAACACCTACGCCCAACTACTATGTTGTGAACAGAATAACCATAAATTATCCATCTCACCACCCTTTTGACTTTCTTGGCAGTAGCAGGTAAAGTTGGAAGGAAAAAGGAGCATTTACAAAGTGCAGATTGCAGCAGATGACTGGCTTGGCAATTTGTTTTAGACCAGACTTCGCATTCAATCACCGGGCATTTGATCAACCTTCCCCAGAATGTGAAGTATAAGAAATGAAGACATCATTCTTCTATGTCTTCATTCATTTGAGTATTTGACTAGCTACCATCTACTATATAGTATATACCACCATTACAGTCACATGGCATCTTCAATTTATTCCATGTGGTGGGACTCTCATTAAAGCAACCATGTGTATGTTTAGACCAACCTCAATAGGGAATTTTTTGGGGGCTTTTGAGTGAGGCGGAAGGGAGAGAGAAAAGTGAGTATGTTACAGGAATATGAATTTTTTGTGGGTCTCACTACAAATTAAAAACACACACAAAAGTTGGTGCGCATCTTGCACACCAGCAACGCCCAGACCTTTCAATCTGATCAAATACTTAAATTACGTTAACGTTTCTGATTATGTGTTTGTGGCATACATCAAAGTCCGAAATTACATAACTTAAGGTTGGAGGGTCAATCTTGGTATGCATGCGCCATATTAGACTCTGCTGGTGTGACTTGAGTCGAATCCGAATTATGCAATCGCACGATATAATATATCTTTGGATACTTGTGGGTTTGCTAGGGAAGAAGTCCATGTTTCATAGGTGGGAGTTGGTGTGGTCTTTCTTGTCACGGAGAAAAGGTGCTCAACAATTTTGGCACCATTTTCAATCCACACCATCAATTCTTGGAGCAGTTGGGATGTTCCTTTGTCTCTTTATTAACTTTTTCTTTGACTTTCCCTCTCCAAGCCCCACATCTCAATAGTTTTTGTCATTTCCCATTATACTCTTTGTTGTTGTGTGTGTTTATTTGAGGTCTTGAGTCAAGGCTTTGCCAACAAGAAACCAACCAGAACAACATCAATCTTTGCTAACTAACACCCATGTTTTTCCCTTAATCCTTTGCAGGCTGCAAAGAGTTCCCATAATCCCATGCTGTCTAGAGAGCTTTCATGCAACAACCACCTTTCCAGCATGTTGCATGTGCTGAGGAGGAGATTTCGTCGACTTTTCTCGAGGCTCCGGTTGGTAATGTGGAGGCGCACGGGGCCTAGAGTCATCATCAGGAGATTTGGGAAGCTGAATCCAAGAAGAACATCAAGATCCTCAACCCATTCAAAGCCTGCAGTGCCAAAATCCTCGGCTCTTTCAACCGCCTTTGCTAGGCCTATTCGCCTTGCAACGTTCAATGCTGCATTGTTTACCCTCGCCCCCGCTGTCCCAAAGACCGAGAAGTCATCCATTTTTGCTCACGACACCGAGGACTGCTTCAAGATAGAGCCTGCAAATAGTCACCCCAAGAGCATACTAAAAAGATCCCCTCTTCACCCCATCCTAAACGATACTGATGATGATGAGGAGTTTGATTTCCCTAAACTCACAAAACCGAAGCCAAGAGTCTCCATAAACCTCCCCGAGAACGAGATATCATTGGCACACAACAAGGTGTTCAGCATGGTGCCTGTCAGGTCTCCTATATGCTTCCCTGCCATGGCTAGTTGGCTAAACCTCGACGACGGGGGCCTGAGTGGGAGCAGAACCATTCTTGATGTCCTCAAGGAAGTGGATGCTGATGTCTTGGCGTTACAAGATGTCAAGGCTGAAGAAGAGAAAGATATGAAGCCCTTATCCGACCTGGCTCGAGCCCTCGGGATGAATTACGTGTTTGCTGAGAGCTGGGCTCCTGAGTATGGGAATGCAATTTTGTCCAAATGGCCAATCAAGAAATGGAGAGTTCAGAAAATCTGTGATGATAAAGATTTCAGGTACACTTCCCATTTTCTTAAACAAGCTCCGATACCATGTTATTGGGCTAGCTATAATGCAGATAGGCCAAATCAGACTGAATCCAATCAACTAGCCAGTCTAACGCATGACCTTATAAACCCATATGTTTCTCTCTTAATCTGTGTTCTTTGTTGGAGCAGAAATGTGCTCAAGGCAACAATTGATGTCCCAAAAGCAGGAGAGCTGAATTTCTACAGCACTCAACTGGATCATCTTGATGAAAACTGGAGAATGAAGCAGATAAACGCGATGATCCAATCGAACGATCACCCCCATATTTTAGCAGGAGGACTCAACTCTCTTGATGGCTCAGATTACTCAGCAGAGAGATGGACAGATGTTGTAAAGGTATTATCACCAGACATTCTTAATTCTTAAACAACATTAGTCAAAACAGACTGCATTAGTTTAATTTTTTTCATGTTTGAATGATCAGTACTATGAGGAAATAGGGAAGCCAACACCAAAGCTTGAAGTGATGAACTTCTTGAAGGGGAAAGAGTATGCTGATGCAAAGCATTTTGCAGGGGAATGTGAGCCAGCAGTCATCATTGCCAAGGGTCAAAGTACACTACTTTTTTTTTTACCTTAAAACTCCCATAAAGTCTTTCCTATGACTATTTTTTTGAGTGACGAGGGAAACACGCATTCACTATTCGAGGGTGTGCAATAGATAAACCCTGCCTTGTGACTCTAACCAGCAAAGAATCAGAAGAAGATAAACCAGCCTAGGTTGCCCATATGTGTGTACTGGGTAAACCCTGCCTTGTAACCCTCGTCGGCAAAGGATCACAAGCCATCCTAGATTGCCTATAGTTGACCGGCTCAAACCAAGAAGGTCAATAGGCCACTCCTGCTAGAGTCGAACTTGTAACCTTCTGGTTACAAGCCGATAGTCTAATTAACTTGGTTGTTTAGCAATAAATCTGAAGTTGAACTTTCAATTTAAAACTTTTAGTCGAGGCAGAATGCATCAGTTAATAGTGCTTTTTGACAATGCAGATGTGCAGGGGACTTGCAAGTATGGGACTCGAGTTGATTACATCCTGGGATCACAAGGACTGCCCTACATGTTTGTCCCAGGATCATACTCTGTGGTTTCATCAAAGGGCACTTCTGATCACCACATAGTTAAGGTTGATATAATGAAACTACCAAACAGTGGTGAAAAAAACAACAGAAAACACAAGAAATTGCAGCAGAGAGTTGAAAAGATAACCACTTCTTGTTCTCCTAAAGGATATTGGGAACTAAGCATTTAGATTATCTCTATGTTCTTTCCAGATTTTTATGTTTCAATATAAAGCATAGGTTATATGAGTGGTTGATCTTTTTTTTTTTTTTTTTTCTTCTCTTTTTTGAAAGCTTAGGGTATATTATTGAGTTTTGCTTCTCCTAATTAGATGTAACTTTAAACAATGAGTAATTAAAGATGCACCTAAAAATATAGGTAAAAACAAATATATGTTCATTCTCATCATAGGATTTTATCCCGGTCAACCCAATATAAACCTTACTTTAAGACTTTTCTTCTGAAAATTAAGTACACAGGTAAAATGATTGTAAGAATCGGCTCAAATAGAAAGAAATTGTGATTTTCAATAATGAGAACATATCTCTTCATCTCCCTATGTCTGAACTTTTATACAATTTAACACATTTAATACAAACTACTACTAATTATATTTTATACGGTCACAATTCTAATACTAAAAATACACAATTTAGGACCAGGGTCCACCTTGCAAGGTGAAACCTAGTCCATAGTATAACAACTCTCACACAACTGTGTGAACTACATTCAGTACAAAAATAATATACTTTTAGTATATTAAAAATGTATTTTTTTATTATGATACACACTACACACAACACTGTAGACTATGATCCATATAATAATTTTCCAAAATTCTAGCCTTTAACCTGTCCTATCGTAAGATAATTTAGGATTGACTTGACTTTGGTCCATCTTGACACCTCTAATATAAGTACTTGGCAATTAGCAGTGTATTTGATAACAAATATAGAAAACTTTACATTTGATACATGTTACTATGTTAGTGCTTAAACGGATGATAGATATAAAAGACTTCGCGCCTAACACTTAAGCCATAAAAAGAATTTAGCACGTAATATATTCTTCTGTCTCATTTTATCTGTCATTATACTTACTATTTATTGGTCAACCGACCATTATATTTACTATTTATTGGTTAACCTAACTCTTTTTTCTTTATTTATTGTTTTAGTAACTTTTACTTATTTTTAAATGTGATTTTTTTGTGTTTAATATTACTTTTATTATAGTTTTTTTTTTTTGAAAATAAAAAGCTAATTCATTAATCATAAACATAAATGTTTACAATACAGATCGTTAAAATGACAGTGCATTCTTTACAGTCAGACATAAAAACAAATTTTCTAACAATGTTATAGAAAACTTGGATCGCAGACTGTTTTATAAATTTGAAGCCGAAGTTGTTGGATGAACTCGGTGGTTCTTCACAGATTTGGTCAAACATAGCCAAGCCTGACTCTGTTGTGACCATTTTATCATTCCACGCTTATGAGGAGAACTCGCCAAAGAAACGAGAGGAAAACTCGTCAAAGAAACGAGAGGAAAACACTCGCCAGAGAGACAAGAGAAAACAAACTAGTCAAAGGAACAAAGGGATAATGTAGAACCAAAAGAAAACAAAATAAATGAAAAAGATTATAGAAAACTTGTCAAATCTGGAGAGTCTATGACGCCTTCTCTGAAAAAACGATCGGAGATAATCTGAGATCTAACGCTTATTCCTAAAGCACCCAGAGAATGGAGTCTACTAATGGGACCACCAGCTCAACCCTCCATTAGAGTGTCAGTCGGCAGTCGGAAGATGGAATTATGAAAAAGGGAGAGAAAGCACTTATTAATAATACTTTATTATAATTTTTAAATATATAAATTTTGTATACTAATAATATTAAATTTAATATTATAAAAAATTAAATTAAAAATAACTTCAATCAAGCCTAGACACATAAAACGAGACGGATTGGAGGAAGTAACATTTATCCAAAGATGGATAGAGATCTATTCAACCGAACTTAGTTCTCCACCACCATATCCAACCATAGAGATAGCTTGAAGCATGTTGAAACTTGAATTAAAAAACCAGTTTCCCAAGAGTGAAAGCAAATACATAATCACTAATCAGCAACTTCAACTTCAACTAACTCTAAGAGCTCACCTCATACTATATTACTTACAAGTAACTCTTTTCCATTGTATTCTCTACTTTCTTCTCATCTTCAATTCCTTCTATCTCTCATCTGTATATATATATATATATATATACTCCATATGCAATTATGCATGAACTTGTGAGAATACCAAGAAATTAAACTCAGTAAAATGGCTAACTCCGGGAAAAGCATTCAAGAAAAGACGCTAACCGGCGTCGGAAACCTCATACGCCTGCTCCCCACCGGCACCGTCTTCATATTCCAGTTCCTCAACCCCGTCCTGACCAACAACGGCCAATGCGCCGCCGTGAACAAGTGGCTCTCCGCCGCCCTCATCGCCATCTGCGGCTTCTCCTGCGGCTTCTCCAGCTTCACCGACAGCTACACCGACGACCAAGGCCAGACGCACTACGCCGTCGCCACGGCCAAGGGGCTCTGGCCGTCCCCCGGCGACGGCGGCGACTGGTCGGCGTTCAGAATCCGGCTCGGAGACTTCGTCCACGCCGCGTTTACGATGCTGGTTTTCGGGGCGCTCGTGCTTTTGGACCGCAACACTGTGGATTGTTATTACCCGGCGTTCGAGTCCACCCAGAAGGTTCTGCTCATGGTGTTGCCGCCGGTAATCGGCGCCGTTTCCGGCTCCGTATTTATGATTTTCCCGAACAGGCGCCATGGCATTGGGTATCCTCAGGAACAGGTTGACGACAAAACTAAATAACCTCGGAGTCGTCGAATTTCCACTACATATAGTACATACCAAGATTGCATGAATAATTCCAACACTAAAATTTCCAAAAAAATAATAATAATAATTTTTTTGAGTGACAGAAAAACCTGCCGCTACTATTAAAAGGTGTGCACCATAGATGGTTCGTGAATGATTTAGTAATTTATTTTCTTTGAGTTAGTATTTGTGAGTGTTTATTTTTAAAATATTATGTATTTAAATGTTGACATAATAATATACTGTAAAGTTTTGTGTGGATTAATCAATCTTAACTAGTTTTGCATGAATACTATGCATTATAGTGAGTAATATAGTAGCTAGGTATAAGAAGTAAAAATAAAAAATATGATAACCCTAGTTAAGTTGATCTGTTAACTTGTTAATCACAATACATGTTATAAATTTGACTCTCATTGGGAGCGACCTATTGGCTGACTAGGGTTTTTAATCTTCGGGTAGTGATTATAGATTTTCATCGTAACAAAAAAAAAAAGTACAATAAAAAATCCAATGAAATGTTAAGGTGACCGATTTAATTTGTTAGGTACTAATTTGGTAAAAAAAAAATGTTCAATTCGTTATGCATTTTTAATTATAAAATTTTACTTTGGATGAAGTCCCCCCAAATCAACATAAGTTGTCAATAGTTGATATAGAAGACCAATGGGTAAAACTTGAAACCTTGTAAATTAATTGTCTGACCAACACGAATAGAAATTCAAACTTAATTTTCTTGTACGATCAAACAATATCTCCTAGCTCCATCCCTCAATTCTTACACCAAATCAACATTTCAAAATAGGAAAAAAGTCAATATAATGAAGTCATAAACTCTTTGCCTTAATTGTAAGGATAGACACAGTATATATCAAGCTTAATTGATAGATTCATTGAAATGCATCTCTCCTCCATATAAGTCAAGCTTCCTAAAAAACTACCCAAAATGCATAGATGTGAATACTCTAATATTATCATTTATTTTGAAAAGTTGTAGCATTTTGATCGAATTACATTTCAATGCTTCATGCCTTCCTGATTTACCTCAATTAAATTGTTTAGATAAAAATATGTTCAAAATATCACTATTTCAAAAAAAAAAAATGTTCAAAATATCACATTGTGGTACAAATTGCATAATAAAATGTATGTTAGGATGATTATACTTTTCCTCCCTTTCTTATGATTATTATCACATGAGATAAAAAGTTTTCTAAATCTTTTTTTACAAGAATAAATAGAAAAAGGCCTTGTTTGGTTATTGGCGGATCCGCCAAAATCCGTCGTTTTCAGCGTTTTGACCATGTCAAAACGCTAAAAACTATATTTGGCAAATGGTGGTTTGGAGCAGCGGATTTGCTCCAAACCGCCAAAATCTGAAACGCTGCTATGTGCAGCGTTTCAGAATGGCGTTTTGGGCTTTTGCCCAAAACACCCTTAATTCAATATTTTTTTTTCTAACTTTTTGTTTAATAATTTTGTTTGGCTGGAATGAATAAGCGGCGTTGAGCTTCCCTTTTAATGGGGAGCTCAACGCCTCCATTTACTTTACATTTCTTTTTTTTTTTTTTTAAATTTTTAATTCTATTATTATTATTATTATTATTATTATTATTATTATTATTATTATTATTATTATTATTATTATTATTATTATTATTATTATTACATTAGTTTGTTTATTATTATTATTATTATTATTATTATTATTACCCTTTTGGTCATTTTACATGTTAACCGCTAATCTAAACAGCTAATTTTACCAAACGTTTTTTTACAAACCGCTAATACAATTCGATGGTCAAACCCGCTAATACATTCCGCTATTTGATAACCGCTAATACAATCCGCTACCGCTAACCGCTAACCGATGATAACCAAACAAGCCCAAACTCTACCTATGATCTTCTCTACTTTTGATAATCTTTGAATTTTCATTGATGAGGTTATAAGATAGTTCTACTGACTCCTCACTTTTCAGTTACGGAAACCTATTAGAGTATGATAATAATTAATAATAATAATATATCTGTATTTACACGCATCAACGAGATTTTTTTCACGAGCCCCTCTGCATGTAAAGACTCCAAATCTTCTCTCTCTTATTTCTCTCACCTCCACTTAAGCCCATGCCCCTCCCCCCTCTCCCCCATCAGTCACATACACACACACACACACAAAACCTCCTAAAGATCTATTGATAGAGATGCTCTTAGTAGAAGAGGTCACATCTATAACTATTCGTTAATTAGTCAATCATCGCATCAGCAACTATCATGTGACGCAACCAACTTGAGCACCCATATATCTTCAATGCGCCCTCCATCAATAGCTTTTTAGCATGTTGCACCCATCTCTCCAATATAAATAGAACACTCCATCGGCTTGTTAGGAGTTCCATTTCATTATTATTTACACCTTACCCAACTTGAGTTTAGAGCATCTCAAACTTTCAGTCACAATTGTAATAAGCCTAAGACAATTGTACCTAAATTATTATTATTATTTTTTGTCATTTTGACTAAAAGCAACCACATCAGTGATTTTTCCTTGGTGTTAGAATAGTAAATCTGATATTGTGGTTTTAAAACAAATGAGAACCTTGATTTTTTCTTGGATTTTTCTCCTGTAAAACTTTTGATTTTTGCGGGAGAGAAAAAAAAAAGGATAGCAGGCGCGCTTGGAGCGCTTTAGAGTGGTCGCCAGCTATGAAAAATCGTTGCTTTGTTCTTTTTGTTTTAGTTTGTGAGATTCTTTTTTGTTTTTCCCGTTTAGTTTTTCTCCTTCTTCTATTTCCTAAGTGACACCTAAAAATCACAAAAAATTCAAGAGTGATATGGTTGCTCTAATACTTCTCACACTCACTTCAACTTATTTACCAAAGATACATTATATATCATCCATGATTTAATAATCATCAATATTTTTCAATACTAGAAAACAACCCTGATAGATACAAAATACATGACCCGTCATATTCTTAATTTAAGTTAAATTTAATTAAAAATACAAAAATAAAATAGCCATATTTAATATTTGATAACATAGTTAGCTTATCAGTCAAATTTGCTTTATTTGACTATTATTAGCTGTTTGACTTGATTAACCATTCAATATAAGTGTTTGATTAATTTTTTTTTTTTTTTTTTTTTTTTTTTGTAACAACGGCTTATTTCTCTAAAATTCTAAAATTTAAAAAGTTTCTCAAAGTAGTTTTTTTTAATAAGCTTTTTGAGAAAATCATTTTACATGTAATCAGTTATTAGCTAATTTATCAAACATAACTAACATCTATTTACCAAATACCTCCAATATTACACTCACATATAATACACAACTACCATAGTCTCATAGATATTTAAATTCAATATAATTTAATTCATACTACTCAAAGAGTGGGATTCGAATTAGACTCGAAAGAAAATTGATGATCCACTTCTCACCAATACCACATCTACTCCCTCACTATTGTTTATATGAATACATCTCTATTAGCAAGATTTAAAATTTTCGTTAACAAATTACTACAACCAATTATAATGCCAAATAAAATATATTGGCCCGTAATAAGTGGCCAAATGTGTGAAACATGATTCTTGTACCTAAAGATGACGAGTTTAATTCTTGTCAATACCCTCTTGATTGAGTCCATCACATAGAATTTTATTAGTGCAATTTACCTCTCTTGTGTAATTTATAGATGAGCGAATTTCCTTCATCACCCAAAAAATAATTTAAACATAACAATTACAAAGTAAAATATTCTTTAAAACAACATGAATATTTTGATCATATCAAATGATTGAAAAAATTGAGTTCTTTCAAAATTGTCTAGCTATCATTTTTTGCATGACAATATCATTGTAAGAAAAATTGAAATCTTTCTCCAAATTTCGAGTGCATATATTATATATAAGCATCCACAATGTTCAAAAAGATCTGTAGAGTTGCCCGAACGGATATCTCAAATAATTTTGAGGTGATAAATTATGGATAGAAGTATATGATTAAACCTTGAGTTCTTAACAACCGCAATGTGAGAATTTCACATATGTAATATGCTCCGACCTTTGTAAGTTTGAGTTTCAAATATGTAATAGGTTTCTTGTAAATCTCTCATCTAAGAGCATTAGTATCGGTGATTTTTTTGGGTTTATGTAAGAAGCCAACTAAGCAGAGAGAGAAGCAAGAGAGAGAGAGAGAGAGAGAGAGAGAGAGAGAGAGTCTTTGGGTTCTTCTGCAAGAGACGAAATAATGGCAGAAAGTGGGTCCCATAAAGCCAGCTGCGTGAAAGCCTTGTGCACGTCACAAGTGCGCCCAACGGGCGCGTCAGGCACGCTGACAACGGCCTGACAGTAACTTTTTTTTTAATCATTTTTGTTTTGTTTTGTTTTCTCTTTCCTAATCACACTTACACTGTCAGTAATGTTATATTTCACATTTATTTATTATGTAACATTAGAGTTGAATTAGTCCTATAACTAATAGCTATTGACTAGGAGTAGTTAGATAGGATTCTAATCTCTGTTATTATCTTTGTAACTTCTCAGAATTTGAATCTACGTTAATCTGTTTCACTCATCTGGTATCAGCAAGCTAGGTGAACCTTTGTTTTCTCTCTCCCAAAATTATGTCGACAAACTCGAGTGAGCGAACGGTGACCGCAGGTACTCCGCCACCTTCCACCACCCCAAACACCCTTAATTCGGCTCACCACTTTATCTCAATGAAATTAACCACGAAAAACTTTCTCTTCTGGCGTACCCAACTTGTACCATTCCTCCGTGGACAAGGCCTCCTGGGGTATGTCACCGGCGATACACCTTGTCCACCCGCCACGCTTGAGTCTCCGGCCTCCGGTGAAGCTGCCTCCGGCGCCACAACAACCACCACCACCTTGAACCCGGCTCACGGTCTATGGATACAGCAGGACCAGAGCATACTGTCCCTGCTCGTGTCGTCAATGGCGGACGAGGTACTCTACCTCGCCGTCGGCCGTACAACGTCGCATGAGGTGTGGTCTTCGATCACGGCGGCACTGGGTTCCTCGACTAGGGCGAGATGCCTCAATTTGCTGGCTCAATTCCAATCACTCAGGCAAGGTGACAGCACTCCCGCCGAGTATCTCGGCCGTGCGCAGCTGTTAGTGGAGGATCTAGCGTTGGCCGGCCGTCCGGTCTCGCTTGACGAACAGAACCTCTGGGTTTTCCGAGGTCTCCGGCCAGAATTCCGGTCGATGGCTTCATCCCTCGCGGCATCCGGCAC